GAAATGAGCAGGAGAAAAGTGAAGTAATGAGGCAAGGCAAGGTCATTGACATTTTGTGTGTGCTTTACCTGATTGAACACCTATTATGCTCACAAGGTAATATTACTGGAGGAAGGAAAATCATTTGATCACAGAGTGATAAGGGTGAGTGATATCTGTTTGGTAGGGTTTCCCAGTAATGTGTTCTGTGGCGTTGCCATCAGGATCATGGATATGATGAAAGGTAGGCACTAATTAAGCACCTACTCTATGTCTATGTGTCGGGCACTGTTGAGAAGAGATAGGACAGTGCCTTGTTTGTAGCTTCTGATGCTATGGTGTGTTGGCCAGAAGCTATGGTCATGGGCACACCAGCTTTTGTGGGGCCTGAAGCAGTTTCTTCTCTTCCTCCTCCTCCTAATCCTCCTTTTTCTTTCTTCTTCATCTTCCCCTCCTCTTCTTCTTCCTCCTGCTCTTCCTCTTCCTCCTCCTTTCTTTTTTCTTCTATCTCCTCCTCATTTGGAGGGGCTTTTTAAGAAACAGAATATAAACTTTAAATATGAGATAAGATAACAGGGCCTTAAAAAAGCCTGTGCTAAGGCCAGCCATGGTGGCTCACCTCTGTAATCCCAGCTACTGGGGAGATAGAGATTGGGAGGATTGTGGTTCAAGACTAGCCCAGGGGGAAATAGTTGGCAAGACCGCAACTCTACAAACAAGTGGTGGTACATGCCTGTGATCCCAGCGACACAGGAGGCAAAGGTAGAAAAATCCAAGTCTGAGGTTGGCCCCTGGCAAAAAAGTACACGACCCTCTCTGAAAAAGAACTAAAGCCAAAATAGGACTGAGGGTGTCGCTCATGTGGTAGAGTGAATGCCTAGCAAGTGTGAGACCCTTAGTTCAAACCCTAGTACTGCCAAAAAAGAAAGGAGGGTGGAGGGTGTGATGAATACTTAAGGGGTGCTGAAGCTCGGACTTCATCTTCTTCATACAGTAAGTTCTCTGGCTGTAGGATAGTGGCAGTTATCAGTCAATTTAACGTAAAAAATGTCATAGTGGTGCTTCCAAAATGTTCACTTTGGAAATCAGAGGGTGGGAAAGGGTACAGCGGAGGTGAATGGGAAAGTCTAAACTCGCTCAAAGCAGCCCACATGGTTCTATCTTAATGACAGACTAAAAGATTGATTCTAAGTGTGCTTGTTTTTATTGCCAGTTGTTTAAAAAGCTCCCCTTTTTGTTAAGATAGTTAGAAAAGGTTTTATTTTGAGTGCAAATAAATAAGTTTGTGTCTGAATGCATGCTTTTTCTGTTAGGGGGTCTCTTTCTTATGTTTTCAATCCATGTGGTGTTACCCGGGTGATAAGCTCCATGTTGCTGGATTTAGAATAAAAATTCCTCTAAAATATTTTGTAATCTGGTGACATGGGGCTTTGACTAGATCTGGTGCATGTGTTGCTGGTGGGATTTCGAGACACTTCTCTCCATACCCTCCAGTGTCTCCTGCATTTTACTGATAGAGAGCCGCCAGGGGAACTTGTGAGAAATTCTTTATGTTGGGTGTTATTCCCGGAAGTCTAATGCAAATTCTAATACAAACCAAGAGCTGTCCGCAGTCAATTCCAGATTGTTCTTGGCTAAAAATGCTTTAATAACAACCCTGTTACACATACAAGTAATTGTTAACATTCTCAGCAAAAGGGGAAACTGAGGCATATGGAAGTATAGCAACTTGTCTTAGGTCACCTAACAAGTTTATATTGGAACAGAACATTCTGGCTCTAAGAAAGCCTGCAGATGGCCCCATACTTAGGAAAGAGAGGACAGCCTGGCAAACAGTACAGATTTGGTATGGAAGGTGGGATGGTGTGTGCTGATTTTAAAAGGGATTAGGATGAATAAGGTGGACAAGAATTAGTGAACAACACAGAGACTTTATAAAGGACTTTGTAGAGTGTTTGCAAGAGGAAAAACAGATTTTGTAAGAATGGTGGATAGACTGTGGGTTTGAGTGAGTGGGAGGCTGTGGCACAAACAAGGAGGAGACTCTGATGTCTGGAGGGCTGGGGAGAGACTTGCACAGTACCCTGCAGATCACAGGCCCTCAATCAATGTTTGTGGATGGAATTTGCAAAGGAGGCTGAGTACTAATGTTGCCTCGATTTAATAACTACCATTTTCCTGGTTGCCACGATTCTCATGTGGGATTTAAGCCAGGAATTCAGTAAGCAGAAGCAGACAATGTGAGGTAATGGCAGAGGACTGTCAGAGACCGCAGTTCAACCAGCCTGAGGTGGTGGAGGTGACTTACCTTCTTAGACACACCTCCCCCATCAGCTGGGGGGAGGGACCAAGAGGAGGTGAGAGGAGTGATTTCATCTGTTTAATGAAAAATGACCTGAACGGTTCTGTGAACCTGGAAACTCCCCATCCAACTGGAGCCAAGGAAAACAGGATTAGGCACTATTTCTCTTAGGATGGCTTTGTATCTGCTTAGAATGAGTTAAACTGGAAGGAACAGAAAAATAAGGCAATCTCTCTCATTCCATTGTCCCTGCAGGGAAACCAGGAAGGACCTCGATCATTTGATGGGTTATTTAGACAGACTTCCCTTTGGACTCCTGTAGACCCTCTTTTACTTTGCTTCCCTTCAGGCCTTATTAAGTGGGCACCCCATTTCTTTGGTATGTGTCCTAATAGCATAAAGTTTGTCATAGGACATTCAGATAAGCGACTTGTCCACTCTAACATTCAGTTCATTGACCAACAGTGTTCCCCCTGGAGGACTAGGCTGTCAAAACCAGGACATGCACTCTTTCAGAGTGGACAACTACTGGCGTATCATTCTCTATGTGCCCTATTGGGGGGCACCCTTCAAGATGTCTGTGCTTAGATTTGGAGAGATGCAGTCTTCTCTTTGGTATATATTTTAGGATTGACAAAGGAGCACCTAAAACCAAAGGTTAGCGATCAGCGTTTAATGATCTTTTTTGTGCCTCAATTCCTCGAATCATCCTTTTAACAGAACAGAGAAATAAATCCATAGGGCCATTTTCTTTTTTAATGCAATGTATATTTATTGTAAACAATAATATACAAAAAAAGAGAGAAAGGAAGGAAGGAAGGTTAAGTTTCACAGAACAAAAAGGTTGGAGGGGCAACAAAACACAAACACAAACCAAACCTTACCTAAAGAGAAAAATGTGATTTAAATGCCAGGTTTCTTAAGTTACAGAAATATTTTTTTAAAAAAGATCTGTTTTTATACAGAAATTGAAAGATGCCATATTATAAGAGTGCTTTAAGATTTTATTCTACCAACTTCTAAAACTGTTAATATATCTTCTTTTTAAATTAAAAAAAAGTCTGCTGTCTTTTTTAAAAAGCAATCCTCAACCTCTCCAGCCACAGCAGTAATTAAGAATTAAGGACTGTCAGTGGGCCGATTCCATCCCTATGATTTCTCCCTTTAAGAGAACATGAAGGAGGAATACTGATGACACATGCTTACATTGTTTTGTGGCACAACACACACACACACACACACACACACACACACACACACACACACTTAGGCGGCCCAAAGGTCTGTGGCAGGAAACACTGCAAGAGACTCAGTGATCCACTACATTTGCAATCTCTCATTTGTACAAAAAAAAAAAAAAACAACTTACAACTTTCCAGTTTGTTTTCAACAATGACAACAAAGGAAAAAAAAAAGAACGGATAAAAAGGCATTTGTACAAATCTAGGACAAAGAATTCAAAGAACCTTGTTTTTAATAATAAAAAAAGATTAAAGAGATAAATAAAAAAAAAACTGGTTACAGTTAAGAACATAATTTAACAACCGATGACCCAACCCTTTGAGGAAGGCTCCAACAACCTATTTTAAAGACAGTAAATTAAAAAAAAAAAAAGGAAGTTTTTTTTTTTTGTTTGTAATTAAAACCTCTCCTTACAAAATAAATAATTTTAGCACGTGTAATGTCTTGAAGGTTAACTGCTGGTGTTGAGAGAGGCACAGGTGACATTCTGAGCAGGCAGACTCCAGCATCTGCTGTCCACATGGGGCCCAGGCAGGCAACCAGGGGGCAGTGGGCTCGGGCACTTACTGGCTGTTGAAACACCCCTAGACTTCCTCTCCCCTGCTTTGCTTGCAGTCTGCTTTCTGAAGACTGCAGCACAGAAGCAAAGGGAGGAGGACGGTGCACTGGTGTGCTTTTAAGGCTCAAGGCGTTTTCCTCTTGTTCAAAAAAAAAAAAACTATGAAAAAGCTTACCAAATGCTCCTCTAGGTTATTCCTTTACTCCCGTATTTGCAAGATAAGGCTTTTCGTTTTCTTTTCTTTCTTTTTTTTAAGGCAGCTCCTCCTTGCATCGGAAAGCCTGAGGAATTAAGCAAAGCTCACCCCCAAAACTGACCACAGAACACAATTCTGTTTTTCTTTTTTTTTTATGTTAATATAGTAACACTTTTTTTTTCTTTTTTTTTATGGTAGGAGAAAGCAAATCTGTACAAAAATACTCTGGTTGCAAGAAAAGCTAGGGCACACTGTTCAACTAAGAGTAGTTTAGCTGTTGGAAAAATAAGAGCATTTAATTTTTTTTTATCTAAAAATATGTATAAATCCCCTCAAAATGGTAATGAATCATACACAGTACATACTAAAAATATTTAAAATAGAGAATATTCCTCACAGAGGACTTTTTTCTTTAATTACTGCTAAAAAATTATTACAAAGTCCAAACAGGCAGGAGGATTGACAAATTGATGGCACACTTCTCTACCATCCTCCTGCTTGCTCGGAAGAAGTCAAGTCCACGTTCTGGTGGATGCTTGCTGGTTCATCTGGCCAAGAGCGGCCTGGCCACTGATTTGCAACAAGTTGGCAAGGCGTTCGGATAGATGTCTTTGTCTTGGAATCTGAGTACGAGTTGCCTTTAGCTTACATGTCTTTGAAGAATAGGAACAAAAATGTCCAAAGGAAATTCTGGTTGGTTATTTATTTCTTCGGTTATTTTTAAGATCATCTCGGCCATCACTGCCCTTTGTTCAAGGTCTCCTTACGGTCTGGTGAGCTGTGTGTAGACGGGTTGCTCCCAGTGCTGAGGGCTGTGGGTCTGCGGGATGGAAGGAACCCCGGAGGTGTCAGCGATGGGGGTGTACATGGGGCGCTGGGCGGGGTTCATGTAGGTGAAGGTGGAGTAGAGACCAGAGCCCTGGCCCGCCGCGTGGCTGTAGTAGGAGCCGGAGTTCTGGTGGTCGGTGTAGTCGTACTGTGAGCGGGTGATGGGCGGGTAGGAGGGGCTGTAGTGCGGGAGGTTGAAGGGGCTGTAAGCGATCTGCTGGGGCGAGTGCTGCTGCTGCTCGCTGTAGTGGCTGGGGCTCAGCTGCTCCGTCTTGATGTGCGTTCGCTGGGACTGGCCTGGCTCGCTGCTCAGCGTGGTCAGCGTGTGTGCTTGCTGCTGCTGCGGGGGCGCTGCCTGCTGTTGCGGGGGCGCCTGCTGCTGCTGTTGCGGGGGCGCCTGTGGGGCTTGGGGGGCCTGCGGAGGCTGCTGCGGGGGCGGCGGCGGCGCCTGCTGCTTGGACATCCACACGTGGCCCGCGCTCCCAGGGGTTGCTGCGGTGCTGCTAATGCCATAGCTGCCGGTGTAGGAGACCTGGCCATGCGTGGCCGGCACCCCGGGGTGACCATTGGGCGGCAGGTACTGGTCGAATTCGTTGACGTCGAAGGTCTCAATGTTGGAGATGACGTCGCTGCTCAGCTCACCGATGTCCACGTCACGGAAGTCGATGGGGGGCTGTCGGCCCCCCTCTGGCAGAGGGCGCCCCTCTCTCTTCAGATCAGCCTTGCCCGCCTGTACATCGGTTTTGGGAGTGGTGGGTGGGGTCGGTGGGCCCTGGGACTGCCCTGCAGGCAATAAAAAAGAAAGCAGCACGGAAAATCAACAAGGGCTGTGCAAAGGCCCTGGGCTTATGATCCCTCCTGGGACACTCCCCTGTTGCTAAGGTGTTGTAATAAGGACCCCGCGCCCGCGCAGAAGGCGCGCTGCACCAGCGATAAGCCGCGCAATGATTAACTCGCCGGTACACACCCGGCTGCTTCCTTTTATCAGGGGAGGGTCTGAGGCCCCGAGGGTCCGGAAGACCAAATTGCTACTTGTAGAAGAGGGCTGTGTGTGCTTTTGGGGTGGGGGAGCAAAGAGACGAAGGAGTAAGTTTCGTCCAGCTGTAAAGGCATTTTACCACGCAATAAAAAATATCAGTCTTTTAGGAAGCAGGGGTTGAGTTGGGGGGGGGTGTGTGTTTGGGTGCCTCCTGCGGCCCTGGACAGGGAGGGGGGCGGATTAGGCGCAGCGAGTAGGGTTTGTCTGCCCACCAGGAGCGCAAAGCCCCTAAACACTACCTCTTAGGTGGAGGAGTGGGGTGTGCCAGAAGGGTCGGGGTGACCTGGGCTAGAGGCCATTGCGGCACTTACCGGAGTGCTCGCCAGGGGAGTGCACCTCGCTCATGCCAGAGGAGGAGTGCGGCGAGTCGGCCTGCAGCGCCTTGAAGATGGCATTGGGAGAGATATGGGTCTGCTCTGTGGCCTCCTCGGCCTCCGCCTGCCCGTTCTTCACCGACTTCCTCCGCCTTGGCTGGTACTTGTAATCCGGGTGGTCCTTCTTGTGCTGCACGCGCAGCCGCTCCGCCTCCTCCACGAAAGGCCGCTTCTCGCTCTCGTTCAGCAGTCTGGGGGTGGGGGGACGCAGAGCACAAGAAGGAGGGGGTCAGTGCAACCCAGTGAGCTGTCAGCTCCCCCCCACCTCCCGCTTCGCTACATTCGCACACAACGCCCACCCTCCCTTCTCCCTGCTTTCCAGCACTTCTGCAGTGCATAACTTTTCTTAAAAAGAAAAAAAAAAAAAAAAAAAAAGAGGCAGTTCTGGTAGTCCGACCTGAGCGGTCAATCGTCGCCCCGCCCCCGCCCCTTCCCTTCTATTTTGGAAACCCTGGAGATGAAAACAGCTCCCTGCTGCTGCAGCTCTAAACGCCTTTGCTACTGGAGTCGTTCCCCTCAACACCCTTTAAAAACTTTCCTAAGCTGCAAGAAGCTGCCGCCCCCTCCCCTACTTCTAGCCGCCTCCCTCCGCCCCCCACTTCTGCTGGGGTCCTCTTCTCCATCCCATCTTCTTGGGTGTACAGCTGCACGAGAGCGCGGTTCAAGGGAGGGAGAGGCAAACTTGCTCCCTCATCCCACCCCTATTCGCTCACTTCACGGCGACCAGGCTGGCACCCTCTCTTGTTTCCTACCAGTCTTCTCTTCTTCTGCCCCCCCACCTCACCCCCCCCTCCCGCCCCAAAGTACAATCCTAAGAAAGTTCTCAAACTCTGAGCCACTTACACCTCGCTTGGCCCGCCCGCCTGTTCGGGGATCGGCAACTCCCTGCCGCGGGGAGGGGAGGCGGGGCGGGGACAGTCAGCGCAGCGCGCGCCCCCAGCCACCGCGGAGCCCCCCCCAGCCGCGCCGCCCCGCCAGGTCTCACCTCCAGAGCTTGCCCAGGGTCTTGCTGAGCTCGGCGTTGTGCAGGTGCGGGTACTGATCGGCCAGCTTCCTGCGCGCCGCCTGCGCCCACACCATGAAGGCGTTCATGGGCCGCTTGACGTGCGGCTTGTTCTTGCTGGAGCCGTTGACGCGCACTGGCATGGGCACCAGCGTCCAGTCGTAGCCCTTGAGCACCTGGCTGACCGCCTCGCGGATGCACACGGGAAACTTGTCCTCCTCGCTCTCCTTCTTCAGGTCCGGCTCGCCTTTGGGGAACGTGTTCTCCTGGGGCCTCGTGTTCTCAGTGTCGGAGCCCGAGCCCGAGGGGCAGGGAGAGCCAGCCGAGTCCTCAGACATGGTGGGGCTGGGGGCGCCGGACAGGCCCTTCTCCTGCTCGTCGGTCATCTTCATGAAGGGGTCCAGGAGATTCATACGCGGACCCGGGGCAGGGGGCGGGTGGCCGGGAAAGGCGAGAAGCCGCGGCGGCTCGGGGACTCGAGGCGCGGGCTCCTCTCCCCTCGGCTGCCCGGACTCGGACGCGGAGCGAGCGGCTCCCGGGAAAGCTGGCGCGTCACCTGGCTGTGGCAGCGAGCACTCAGCAAGGCGCGCTGGGTGGCCGATCCTTAGCTGCTCGCTCCAAATGGGGAAGGCGAATAGGAAAGGAGAAGGAGGAGGGGAAGAAAGCAAAACTGGGGCACTTGCACTCCTCCTGCAAAGAAAAGTTCTCCGGAGTGAAACTGGCAAGTCGTAGCGCTACAGAAGTTTCCAGGCAGTTCGGAGCTCCGCTCTCGGCTCTTCAACTCCCAGCCCAGGGTCTCTTTAATAAATACTCCCCCTCACCTTAGAGACGCTTAACCAATCACAGCTCGGTATCACCGGGTTGGCAAGCAGCTGATTGGGCCCGGTTTTGGAGCTGGGAGGAGGATTGTGGCGCTGGGCTGGGTGACGATACCCGAGGGGAGGAGAGGGAAGGGGAGGGGAGGGGAGGGGAGCGCAGCCCAAGGGTAGACGGTCGGGTGGGGGTGGGGGGTGGGGGCGCTGCGGGGATGGCGGGGGACCCGGGACGTGCAAGTGTGTAAGTTTGCCGTACTCTCGGAATGTCACAATTTTGGTGCCGTCTCCGCGCGAATCTTTGCGTGTGTGTGTGTGTGTGCGCGCGTGTGTGTCTAGACTAGGATTCCCCCCAACCCCCGCCCCCGACATTTCTTTTCACTGCTGTCTCCGCGGTACCCGGGACTTAACTGGAGTTTGCAGCATTCGAAAAGCAGCCGCTTCTTAATGCGCACCCCAGTTTGTACGCCTGGAGCCTGCGCGCTTCTAAAAGTGCTTAGAAATGGTCTTTTTGAAGCAAATGTTTTGGTGACTCAACGCCCGCTGTTCCTCCGTAATAATCCATATAAATAGATTAACATGCTCTTGTTCGCCGGGGCTGGTGCGGCTGGTCGGGATTCTGCTGCGCTCTTGCAAAGAGAATCAATGAAAACCAAAGCTAAGTCCCCGGGAAAGCAGGCGGCGGCGGCAGCCGGGACGCCGTAGTCCCGAGCTCTTGCGGCCGTCCCGCGCGCCACGCCGACCTTGAACTCTGACAAGTTATTCTTCGACCCCCAACCCCCCGCCCCGCCGACCCCCCTCAGTGACAGGGTTAGAACTTTGACGTTCTGCTCTTTGCTTCCTGGCTGAGTCACAAACGTCAGCGGAGTTGCCACTGGAAAGAGTTTGCAAAGGGCTCTGGCTTTCAGATCGAAATTTGTCAATGCGGCTGTCTTGGGCCGCGAGGCCGAGGCCAGTCACCGGGATTGTAAACCTCCCAGCAAATGGGCACCTCCGCACACAAAGCAGCCCGTTTGGGCACAGTCGCGCTGGTGGCCGGCTTTCGCCCTCCTTTTCCAAACACCTGGAGAGTGGAAGCTCTAGTCGCTCTGATTTTAGCCGCGTCCTTTTAGATCCGTTCACAGGTGGAGTTTTGGGGGAGGCCGTAGAGGTGTCTGTGAGGTATTTCAGGTGTGATTTGATTCCAACCTTGTGTTTACGCAAACTCTTAGAAGTCAGACTGGGTAAGTGCGTAGCTATCTGTTCTGGAACCGAAGAAAAACTCTTCGTCGCCTTCGGGTTACAACCTTCAGAATCACAAGTAAACCAGAAAGTTCCTCCCTTTCTGGTTCTTGCAAAAATTTGCCTTGAATTAAATGATTGAGTCTGTGAATCGGCCCACATCATATCAAAGACAGGTCTCTCCCCCCTCCCCTCCCGAATTGGACAAGTATGGACATTACAACATTTTAACGTATGTTTTATTTGAAGTGTATTTTGAAAACCTCGTTTTCTCTCATTTTCTGCCGACGTTGACAGTAATTCTTACAGGAAAACGAACTCTTGATAAAGTAGTTAGTCGCAACCTTGTTCCACAGCCTTTTCTTTTTAAACGAATTCAACTCACGCACTTGCTTTGGGTGTCTCCACTACCCTATGTCTTGTTTACGAGTTGAAGAGACCTACACTAGCCTTGTACTTACGACTCTGTGATTAGTTTCAGAAAGTGTTAGAACAGCACGGTTCTTTCTTGGAAAAATTAAAACACCCGGGATTAGGGACGCATTTCTGTGCCGGGGCAATTGTGTGTATAACTGTGTGCTTCGCAGACACCTGATTCAGGAGTCCCAGAGAACATCAGGCAGACGTTTTGACTAAGGCGTCTGGACTAAGTTGTATTTTATTGTCATTACCACTTTCACTGGCATAAAGACAGTGAAAACGAATGTGAATTTTATTTTGGAATATTTCACTAAATATTTGTCGAGGTGTGGATACATAAAAATATCTTTAATACAATCTTGTTGGAAGAGATGTAATATACTACAGAATTTTAAATAACGGACCATGGTGCTTTATACATTTTCTGCCCTTTTGATGCAAGCATTTTGTATTCTTTTATCTTTTTGAAAACTTAAAAACAACCCGTCCTCTTAAAAATGGACTGCAATTTTCAACTGTGTCCGGAGAGGGCGCCAAAAGCCCAGAAACTGTTTTTTAACTCACAGGACTTGCGGGAAAACTGCTGGCGGTGGCTGGGTAGCGGGTGGTGGTGGTGGTGGGCTCCACTCAATCAGGGACTGCTTTGGGGCTGAGATTTATCTCTGCAAGAGTTCCTTCGCAGCATTCCCTTCTTTGTGGATCCACCTTTGTTGAGCACAGTTAGGGGAACTCGTAGGAGTGTGTGCCTATAGGAACCCGCCTGTTTTTGTTTTTGTTTTTTTTTGCTCAGAATTGGGAGACTGAGGCCAGGAGAAGGCCGCGGTCCCCCAGGTGCCAAGAGTTGCCTGGTATGCCAGCATTAGGCCGAGGCCGGCGCGTGCGTACCGTCAGTTCAAGAGTGGTTAGTGCTCCATTTCTTCAGGGGCTTTGAGTGTCGATCCCCCACCCCTATTCAGGGTCTCGGCTCCCTTGGGTTTGACTTTCCGGGATGCCACTGATTACTCCTCAGTCAGCTGGGAAGACGCTTGGGCTCCCTGGCCAGAGAATCTCAGCCAGAGCTAGAGGGAAAGGAACCCGCTCCTGAGGTTCAGGTTACAGATCGGGAAACTGAGGCTGTGGGTCCAGTTTTAGCCAGAGCATTCTGTCAAGAGTTAAATGTGCTGGGAGTCCTCAGTCTCCTGGGAGTGAAGGACATTGGCGAAAGGGCGAAGGTTAAGACTTGCGGCGGGCGGCTGACTGCGCTTCACAACTTAGCTACGCGCTTTTGGGTGCCTGCTCTTCAGCAAGCGCCGCGCGGTCTGCCGCCAGGAGCGGAGACACGGAGGTGCGAGTGGATCCCGAGGGGCGGCCTTGGGAAACCGAGGTCTGGGATCCTCCCCCCACTCTCCTTCTTCCTCTTGCTTCGTCCCGGGCCGGCGCCGGGCTCAATTTCCCCAGCGAGGGCCGCCAAAGTTCCCCTCCTAGTACACGCGCGAGCCCAGGGTTGGCGCAGGGCGTCTTGCCGGCTCCGCGGTGCTGCGCACACGGCGCGGGAGGGGGTTCCGTCTTCGGGTGCGAGAGAGGGCCAATGTCCCCCCCTCCTTTTTTTTTTTTTTTAACCGGGAGCATTAAAGACCACAATCCACACCATTCAGTCCAAATTCCTTAGCGAATGTGAGGACCCTGTTTGAATCCATTTTTAGCAGGATCGTATATATTCTTGGAAGTGTTTGGTGCGGGTGAACCGCGGCGTCCCCTCTACCATCTCAGCCCTGAGCGGTGTGGTCCACAGAGGTGATTAGTCAAGGGGAGGTCCCTTCTGTCTTCCAGTTCCCCCAGTTGGTCTCCTTGAAGTAATCCTGGACGACCTCAATCCCTCAATCCTGGCGGGACACTCAGTGCCCCGCACCCTGCGTCCCCAGCCTCTCCTCCGTAATAAGTACTTTTCGCTGGGCATGGGGAGTGTTTGTTCTTAGAGTTTCCTTTGAAAGGGAGCGGCTGGTAAATCGAGTCTCCGGACAGCCATCGGGCTGGGCGGCAACAGCAAAAGGGCAAAGGAAAGAAGCAGAGGGCTTCGTAGGTGCGCAATAAATATCTGAATAAAAGTGACTTTTGGACATTTTGCCCAAGTGTGTCTATGTACCAACACCACATCGGCCAGACCTCCCAGCAACACGCTTTCTAATCGCCTTTGCCTTTGTCGTTCTACATGTCCATTTCTCCCCAAACGGGCGCCTTACTTTGGGAGGTTGTCTGACGTGTGTACCCCAGGACCCAGGACCGTGTAATACCACCTCCTTTGCCCTCCGCCTCTGAAATTGCAGGCCAGGAGGAGCACGTTAATTTTCTTCCTTAAAAAAAAATTTTTTTTTGTTTGCGATGAGAAGGAATGATAAACTGTATGGGAGGTGTTGGATGAGGGAATGTGAACCGTCAACCTGCCCCCCAGGTGACCCGGCCAAGTCTTGGGGCATCTGGTAGCTGTAACCCAGCAGGACCCTTCCCCCACCCGGGGGTGGGGTGGGTGAGGACCAGAGCCGAAGCAAGAGATCTGGACAAACTGGCTGGTTGGAGTGGCTGAGCCTCGGAGGGGAAAAGGAGCGGTGGGAGTGGGAGGCCTTAACTCCAAAGGGATTGCGCTCCCAAAGGGACTGTTCACTTTTTTCAACCTTGGTTTTCCGAAAATACCTGTCCTCAGTGGCCGCACTAGGGAACCTCGCGTCATGAGGAATCCCTCAACGGATCCCTAGAACGCCCTGCCCTGAGGTAAATTTCTTAGGCCAAGTACTCCCCACCCCACTGCCCACTCCCAGCTTTCCCGTTTTAAGCTGAAGGCTCTCCTGCCTTGCTTATTTTAAAAGTAAAGTAAGCGCTCAGCTCAATGCAGTGGCCTCCGGGCAGACTAGCCCGGCCACTTCAGCCCCAGGAAATTCCTTCGCAGACAGCACATTCCAAGAGACACCTTCTTGCCCATCCCATCATCTATCCTTTTAGGGTTTTTTAGTCCCAGGAAGGGGACTGACCAGAGAGCTGAGGTTCTCAGGGCAGTTTTGTAAGGTTTGCCTTTGGAAGGGTGAGCTCTAGCGCAAATATTTCTTCGCAGTGTGGAGGGACCCTGACCAGCTCTCTTCCTTCCAAAATGCACCCAATAGGGTGGGTGATTATTTCGGATGCTCATTAATCGGTGACAATGTCTCCACCAAACCATGAAAAGGGAGAACATTTAAGATACAATTCCGAAGGTAACTGTCAGAATTAAGACAGATTACTTTGTGTCCTTCCTCCAACTCTATTCTGTCTCTGCAGGGCCTTGGAAGCCCTCTGGCAGATCATTTCTCCCTATT